TAGAATGTTCATAGGCGATGGACTCCACCTAAATAACCACCTTAAACTCTTTTAGAATGTTCTATAGTGGGCCCTATCTAAATAATTATTCTAAATTCTTTTAGAATATTCTATGATGGATCCTATTTGGTCCACTAACCTAATTCCAATTCTAAAAACTTCTATGATTTTAACTATCTATATAATTATCTTTTCCATACACTATTACATAAGAAATTACTATAAATATTAGAGAAGGATGTTGACTAATATTTAAGCAAATTATGAAATTTTTCTCTTTTTAATTTTATTATATTTATTATCAACTAAGATATTAAAATATGTATATATTTTTAATCAAAGTTAATAATTAAATTGTTAATTATTAAGATTTTAATCTATTATAGGATTTGATAAAGATTTGGTTATGATTATTAAAAATTTGATTTAAAAAAATTTAAGATTTTATTAAGATTTGATTAAGATTTAAGATTCAAGATTTCTTAATTTGATATGTAATAGGCCAATAATTTAGGATAGTAAAATTACCATTGTAGAATAAATCCTATGTAATTGTTGTACTTTTTGTAATAATAATATTTGATTGATTGAACAACCTTTTGAATTGGATGATTTTTTTGCCATAATAGATGAAAAATCTCATTAAAATAAAGGTTGAAATTAAGATGGCGGCTAGACTTTGGGAGGTAGCAAGTACTTTGAATCTTCTCTTCTTTCACTTTCATTTGTATAAGTTGTTGTTATTGTGGATTTTATTATTAGAAAGTAGTGAAAAGATGTAAGAGATTAAAAGTATAATTGAAAGAACCAAGAAGACTTAAGAAGTCAATTTAAGACTAATATATATATGATTTTATAATATTATATAATTAGTATTAAGATCCTTGGTATTCAGGGAGCAAAATCATATATTATGTGTTAGATCTTTAGTTGTATAGATAATTTTGGATCAAACTAGTTGGTGTATCTTGTAGATCAAATGACTATATATATAGATTTATATTAGATTTAACTAAATTAATTAGATTTAATCATAGATTTGAATTTTAAAAATTTAGAACTAAAAGCAATGTCATAGATAATAATATGGCAATAATTCAATTTTTTGGAGATTTGATAAGTAGATGGTTGTTAACACCCTTCAAGAGAGCTTAAATCTTTCTTTCACAAGGTTTGATTAGAATTATTTTAGAATTTAGGATTTAAGATTTGATTAGAATTCGATTAAAATTTAAAATTTAGGATTTAAGATTTGATTAGAATTTGATTAAAATTTAAAATTTAAGATTTAAGATTTTATTAAGATTTCATTAGAATTTGATTAAAATTTAAAATTTAGGATTTAAGATTTTATTAAAATTTAATTAGAATTTGATTAGAATTTAATATTAAAGATTTGATTTGGATTTTATTAGAATTTGGTTGACATTTAATTAAGATTTAAAAATTAAAATATAGTTAGGATTTGATTAAGAATTAATTAAAAATTAATTTATAATTGATTAGAATTGGATTAGAATTTGGTTAGAATTTAGGATTTTAAAATATATATATATATATATATTATAGATTATTTAAGGTTTATTTAGAATTAATCAAAGTAAGACAAGATATATCTAGGGTTTTTCTAAGGTTAATAGGATATACTTAGAATAATTAGAAGCTTACTGAGGTTGTTCAAGGTTACCAAGGAATATTTCTAAACATCTTATATGTTATTTTGGGTTGTAAATTAAACTTCAAGATAAATTCAAATCTTTCTATAGACAGATATCTAAAGCATTTCTATGTTGATTTTTATATAATACAACAATGGTTTCTTACTTTGCATATTTTTTTTAATACTTTGCACATTATACATATGCACATCTACGCATGGTGTTATATTACGCAAACCCTTGCTTGACAATACACCAAATGCTTAGTAGTTGAAGGTAAATTGAAAATTATAACAACAAGGTCTTAATATTTATAATAGAATTTTAAATAAATCCTAATTAAAGCTTAATAATTTTAATGAGACTTTAATCAAATCCAAAAAAAAGTCTTAAAAAAATTATAAGAGAAATATAAGATAAAAAAATATTAAAAAAATAAATCATAAATAAATTCTAATTAAATTCTAATAAATATTTCAAAAATACAAAAAATATTAATTATAAATAAATTCCAAGTAAATCTTTAAAAAATTCTAATATAATCTTAAACAAATCTTAATGTAATGCTAAAATAATTCTAATAAAATCTGAAAATAAATCCTAAATAAAATCTAATCTAATTATAACCAAATCTTATGAAAATCCTAAAATAATCCTTAAAAAATCCTTTAAATTTTCAAATTTAATCCTAATCAGATATTAAATCCTAAATCTTAAATAAATCCTTAATCAATCCTATAGCAGATTGAAACTTCAATACCTAATAATTTAACTATAGATTTTGATTTAAAATTTGCATATTTTCAAATTACTTAATTTTCAACAAGAAAAAATAATTTTAAGAAGATTTAACTTACTAAATAGAAGATAAATCCTATAATCTACTTGGGTGGTAATTGGCGTCTATCTCCAATCTTAATGCCAATCTCCTAATGCCAACAGCTCTTGATTTCTCCATCCAATGGCTCTCAATTTTTTTATAATTTTTAGGAATAAAGTTTATTACTATAATACAAAAATAAATAAATAAATAAATAAAATCAATCTAATTAGTAGATTACTGCAAATCTTAGAAACCATCACTGGTCTTTTAAACTCTAATTCCTAAGATTCCAATACTTTTGAATTTTAATAACCTTCAAATAAAGTGTTTGATCAAGATGAAACTTACAAAATACATTTAAGATAACAATGATCATTCAATCACAAAATTTTATTTGTAGATCATCTACTAATTTCATTTAATTTTCTATTGTATAAATTCTCTATACTTCTTAAAAATCCAAAGTCACTACAAAACAACTCTAACTTTGCAAAGCCTTTATAAAGTCATTATAAACTTAAATAACTCAAAATCAACACCTAAAGAACCTTTCTTTAGTCTGCTCTCAAACTTTATTCTCTAATCAACTAAAGAACTCTAAAATTATTGTTAGTGCATGGTTTTGTGCCTTAGGGTCTGATTTTTACCATGGTTCACAATCAATCCTTTCTAAGTATCAATTCTTAGTTTCTTAAGATAATTTATGCTACAAACTACTCTAAATTTTTTCTTAAATATGTTTCTATTATTTATTTTTTTTAATCTACTTTATTTTTTTTTATTTATACCTTTACAAAGTAAGTAGAAGATTTTTATATAAAAAGATAAAATTAATACAAAAAAATTTACTACTTCTTCATCTTTTATCCATATTTTTTTATTATATTTTTTTAACTAGGTTCTTCTGTAATAAAATCTACATTTTTATCTTTTACCATTTAATTGTGTTATAACATGAAAATGATTTATTGTTATATCAAATCTAATAACTTTTACTATTTTATTATCTCACATGCTATTTTTTCATGGATGCTTCACTATTAGTAGATTCAATAAAAGCTTATTAAAAAAGTCATAATTGATGAATTTATATTATGTTTCATGTATGACTTAAAGACATTGCATTCTTGCAATCTTAGGATTAACTTCATTTATGTGCAAATTCATTGCTTTTAGATTGTCTATAATGTTTGATTTGTGGTTGAAGGAAACAATAAAATTTAGTAAATTGAATATTATGAGCATTGCTTGAGCCACTACTCTTACTATAGACCATTGTAATAGTCGACATTTTATTACATAGACGTCATGGCAAATGGTAGACATGTTAAAAACGGTCCTAATAACCACAACTAATCACTAATTTTATTAAATAAATAAAAAATATTTTTTAATATGCAATAGATTTTTTTAATAATAAAATAAAATAAAGTAATTTTTTGTTTTTAAGAATATCCTTTTATAGTATTTTTTAATGATGAAATTCACCTCTCAATCCAAATTACGAGATGGCTTCAATTAAAAGTTGCTTATAATTGGTGGTATAAAAAAAAGAAAAGAAAAGAACAAAAATAAAAGTAGAATAACAAAAATAACAAGTAAAATAAGTGTAATTAAGAAAATACACATTACAAAACTAATCATAATTTTTTCACAATATTTTCACTTAGAAAAAAATATTTTTTTAAATATGCAATTTTTTATCTTTCTAATGACATAAAAAATATATAAATCCAAGTTACTATGAATAAATTATGATAGTTTGATAGTGAAATGTAAATAATGGAAAATTTAAGTGAATAATTTTTATTTTAATTGAGGATATAATTTTTACTTTAGTATTATCCTCCTCCTTACATCTAAGGTGCTACAACCCATATGGGAATTATGCACTACTTTTCCTCCAAGGACAAAAGTAGTTGTCAATTCTTCTATTTTTTACTAATAAAACTAATATTTTTTCATTTTTTACTCGATTATAATGTTTAAAAATATCTAATTAGATAAATATTGTTCCATGGCCTTTAAATCTTACTCCATTTCTTCATAATGACTTCCAAGATGGTAAAACTCTTTCTTTATCAAAGTCTTAAAATTTCTTCTAAAAATTCTAAATAAATTTTACATAAATTCTAAATAAATTCTAAAAACTCATATATTAATTTAAATTCTAAATAAATTCTAAAAAATCATAAATTAATTTAAATTCAAATAAATTATAAATTCTAATAAACACATAAATAATCAAAAGACTCTCTAATCCTAACATTTTTTTTTAATTTAAAATAACTTCAAACTATACTTTTGACAATTACACCAATTAAAATCCATTGGTGGAACTGACATATTTTTCCTTATTTCTTTCTTTCTTTCTTCTTCTTCTATTGTGTTTTATATATTTTTTCAACAAATTAAACACAATAAAAAAAAAAAAAAAAAAAAAAACAAACGCAGGAAGGGGGTCAGAGCATCCTTACATCGAAAGTCACCAAATTTGTCAGATCAACTAGTTTGAGCAGAAGGGCGCAGGGACAGGCGCAGTTCTTGCGGTGGCGGTGCGAGGAAAAGGCGACGAGGTGAAGAAGAGGGGAGAGGAGAGGAGATATTTGGAGGCGGCGGCGGGGATCGCAGATTTGGTGTGTGAGGAATCGCGGCCCTCCTTCCAGATGCAGCACCGGGCTCCCTCTCTCAGATTCTTTCTTTCTATCACTGCAAGCGTCCCCACTTTCCTTTCCCACCACCTTTTTCTGTGGCTGGCTGTCCTCGAGCCGTCTGGCTGGCCGGGATGCAGCATCATTGCCCACCTCGCCGATGCTTTCGTCTTCGCCACCCCACCCCACCTCTGCCCTGCCTGCCCTAGCTGATCGCTGTCAGCACGCAATCGGAATGGTCGCCATCGCTGCCCTGCTCCCCTTCTGCTGACGAATTCTCGCCTCTCGTGGGGCTGCAACTTCGATCTCTGGGTGTTCTTCTGATCACACCGGATTTCAGCTCGAGGTTTGGAGAGTCGTTCAGCTCGGGGAGTTGTGGGAATCTCGCAGGTGACGGCTCTCTTCTGTTGAGCTGTCGATTTGTCGCTTCCGTCGGACAGGTGATTTCGTAGCTTGAGTGTTATGTTATTAGTGTGCGGAGCTTCCTCGCACACAATTTCCGTGAGGGGTAATATTTGCAGTCATTCGAAGTGTTGGGTTAAGTAGGCACTTCTGCTAATTTTTATTTTGCATTAGAATTCGTCCTCAGCAGTCTGATTCTTCTTTCCTCTGGGATTTCTCCTCTGCAGAGCTGCTTTAGGTTGCTTTGTTCTTTGGGACTGTTCACAACAATCGCGTAGACCTATTTTTAATAGAACCCTATTGGGTTAATTCTGGTCATCAGAACCAATTAAATTCGTCGATACTACTAGAATAATGGCAGCATATCAAGCTACGCTGCCGGTGGCACCCACCTCTAGGGTGCCTGCCCAGGTGTACAAGGATCACAAGAGCAGCAAGAGGTATTGCAAGCCTGATGCATGCCCCTCCTGGCTTAGACCTCGTGATCTTCTCTCCATGAGGGGTGCACCAGCATGTACAAAATCACCCATGGGGAGAGTGGAAACACGCGCCAAGTTCGGTGGGGATGGGGATGTAGATCTAAACGGGGACGTCATAGGCGAGGATTTCTATTCAGTGCTTGGGTTGGTGTGTTTACTACCTATGAACTCTGTCCTCTAAGATCTTAAACTTTCCAGACTTAGTTTCTGTGCTTTCACGTTGTTTGCCGCCCGGGATCATCAAAGTTGCGATTGATTGTCACACTTGTTTCTCTTTTGTCCTTTTATTGTAGACACCCGATGCAACGCAGGAGGAAATAAAGAAGGCGTATTATTCTTGTATGAAAGCTTGTCACCCAGATCTCAGTGGCAATAACTCAGACTCTACCGATTTCTGTATGTTTGTAAATGAAATATACGAGGTAACGATCATCAAATCCTCTTTAAATTTGCTGCATTTTCCCTCCTGCGTACGTCCTGGTTATCTCTGAACAATTGTTTCATCTTTGGCGTCCAGGTGCTTAGCGACCCAGAGCAACGAATGGTTTACGACGAGATTAATGGCTACGCTTTGACATCCGCAAATCCTTTCTTATTTCCGAAGCAAGAACGTGACCACGCGTTTGTTGACGAGTTCACTTGCATTGGTAATCACCTGTTGTCTGCTTGAGTATGCTCTGCGTACTTCCTCACTTTTTCATGCAAGAGTAATGTCAAGCAACTAATTTCTATGTGATAATTGACCTCTGAAACAGCTCCTCTAATAAGCTAGTCCTTTGCTTCAAACAGTGACCTGAATCCATTAGCTTTAAGTTACATGCAGGCTGCAAGAATTGTGCTAATGTGGCTTCCGACACATTTGAAATCGAAGAAGAGTATGGTAGAGCACGAGTGCACTGCCAAGTAGGAGATGTTCGAGCAGCGCAAGAGGCAATTGATACATGGTAACAATGCAACTCAGAAGCTTCTCAATTGTATGACGTTTCCACTGATTGAATGCGGTTAAAGAAGGATTGGGTTGGATCAGGTTGAAGTCTCTGATTAGAATTTGCACGATTTTGGCAGCCCTGTAGATTGTATCCACTGGGTGACTGCGGCGCAGTTGACACTTCTTGAGGATGAGATGAGGAGGGTTGAGCGTGTTAATGTGAGCATCTCAGTCCCAGTTTTCTTTTTGTCTTTTTTCTTTGTACCGTATTCCACTTGCTGCTGATAATTCTCCGTTCCGACGCGCACTAGTTCTGCTATTGTCCATATGACGGTGTGGTAATGAGTTGTCACGGACCTGTGATTTGTGATGTCCAGGTAGGAATGATGTTGTCAGGCATGGGCTACCAGTCACCTGATGTTTTTGCTCAGGTGCTACTCTACTCCGAAATCAATTGGGTCGACTAAATTGTTTTGCTATAAGGGTGTGTTCTATTCTTCGAATTGGGAGATGATGGTACAGTCCTTGAGAGGTTTCGGACATGTGTGCAAGTGCGGTTTAATTCTCTTCGAGTAACTTGGTTGGATCTCGCTCTCCATAGTGCTAGTATATGACAATGCGTTATCCAGACTGACATCCTATCACATTCGGGCATGATTTATTGAGTAACGCGTTTGGTCGGACATTGAACTGGGTCTTGTAGGCAAGTTGGAGGTGGGAAAAGCGGCAAGCTAAGGCAATGGTACGCAATAGTATTAACCCAATCCATGAGTTTACAGCTCATCTTACTGGTTCTTTGTACTTCAGGCTGTAGAGAACTTGCCAGTGTTGTTAATTTGGGTAGGTTAGTGAGGGACCTTGAAATAGGTGCTACATGACGAGCATTGTGAAGGTAGAGCTACTAATCAGAGATTCTTATTCTTATCTGGCTGAGTTCATGATTATGACCGACTTGTGTAACTGCTGTTTAGCATCCGAACAACTCCATACAGCAGTATGTAATGTTTACCGCTCAATTGGCAGGAACAAGCACGCATTCGCATGATGAAGGAGAAGGGTAAAGACGCCTTTGGAGCTTGGTGGCAAGGGTGGAGCAATCCCGGAGGTGATGAAGATTTCAGACCAGGTATCTTATACCGAATCTTGACGTTGACTCTTGCCCAATTTGAAACTGGTATATACAAACAGCTTAATTGCTACTTCTTTTGTTTTGATTCTTCAGATGACATGGGAGCTCGAAAGCGGGCAGCTAAGACTGCTGCAGCATCCCGCCGCTGGCGTGAATACTCAAGGCAGAACGCAGGTCGGAGAAGCGTCTTTTCACTGCCCCGACAGTCGGGGACTGAGGATGAGACTGATTCAAAGAAGGAAACTGCTGTCAAATAAATTGCAACTGGGCTGAATCGAGGCATCTCTGTGTCATGTTACCCGAATGTTCATTACTTTTAAGTACCAATTGAATGCAGGTGGTTTAAACTTTCGTCTGCAGCCCTTTTGATTTTTGTCTGGAAGACTATCATTGGGTTTTTTTCCTTAGTTACTCACTCATTGCTTTTAGCTTGTAATTACGTAGCCCATACCAGAGAAGGGACGTACATGATTTGTAAATATCAGTATTGTTAACACGTAAATTTGATTTAGCATGGGCAATTCTAGACATCAAAAAAATTGAGAGAACCAGATGGTTTCTCGCTGTAAGGACCCGTCTTGCAATTCTGTGGTCCTCATTTGACTGAGCACTTCCACTTGTTCGGCAGAAGGGAACTGAGGAATATCACCACCCATGAATTTTGTATTGAAAATGTTGGCGAAATTTGTTACTGTTGCAAATTTTTTTTAGAATTGGTGGGGAAAAAACTCTATGTGCATGCATTAAGATGCGTGACATAGAAAGCTGTGCGTGGAAAATTCCAAATGAATGTGACATGGAATGGCATACATCAATAGCTGACCTGCGAAATGAAACATCTAGGATGAAGAAGCTGCATGCACTGAAAATGAGCGCAATCTTCCACATCAAGTTTTTCTATTATCAAAAGGTTCTGAGTTGAGATTCATTCTGAACAGTAAGATCAAATTGTTGCATTAAATCAGCTGGCAGTCATAAAATAGTTTATTTGTGGATCTTTTTGTCAACTATGAACGGTTTCAGGAGTTTGTTTTAATTGCATGTTCGCGAGATGCTCAAGGACCGGTTAACACGTGGGTTGGACAAGTGGCACATGCATTGATAGAAAAGCTAAGAAAGAGTAGTGGAAAACATGCAAAAAAACATTATGCAAAAAACCATTTGTGTAAGGATATGCAATAAAAGTCTTGACTGAAAAGAGGGTCATATACAAAGCAATTGATTGCCTTTTGAAACATGTGCGCAAGTTTAGAAAACACGTATACCTTCCTATACACAGATTCACAACCTTGATCTAGAAGATATGCTTGAAGAGCGCCCAGAAGGGTGCGACGAACAAGAGGAGGATGCCAACGGTGTGAGGAATGCCCCGAGACTCGCCGAAAGCGCGACGGAAGCCGCCAGCGTGGCTGGTATGTTGAAACAGCAAATAGGCACCGATCAGGAGGGAAACGACGTCGGAGATGATGGTGCCTCTCACGTGGACAATTGTCTTAGGGGCAGTGACGATAAGGAGGATGAAGGCTACGGGCAACTCGAGATCACCTGAAGAGACCACCACTAAGCATTAACAAAGGTAACCGAAACCATGGCATTCATCAAAAGAACCTCAAATCAATCAATCCTTAACATGACAGCGAAATTTTCGAAATAGCTCACCATGAATCAAGTTTGGGAATGACTGGGCGAAGAAGAGGCGGATCACCACGGCAATGAAGGCGATCCAGGCACCGATTCCTCCACTGCAAAAACCTCGTTCACGTTAATGGCTACTCGAGCACAAGGAATTACGGCACAGACAACATCGAGCCTTAGTGCCCGAAACAATCTTTGAGCAGTTTCAAGAGAGGTGTGAACGCATACCGGAAGAAACCGAAGAAGGGTTCTGGAAGTTGAAGCGCGAGGTATGGTACGAGAAGAGCGGTCAACAGATTGGTTCTCCAGTTCGTTCTATCCAATACCAGCAAGTAACTGCACAACACAACAAGAATCATCAACTGAGCAAGTGCTAGTACTTGAAACCAACCACACTCACACCTTCAACGGCTTGTCTGCTTACTGCTACTCAAGGCAGAGAGCCTGCATGCGGTCTATCACCACCCAACAACACAAACCTGTGGCTGCAAGGACCACCGAAACCGAAACTCACTAATCTCAACGTCTTCACCTCCGACACGCCCCACAGGCTCCCCGAACAAACCATTCAAACCAGCAGTAGCAACAACTATGGTCACCGATCACAACCCTAATCAGCGCAGCGGACAAAAGCATACAAATAGTCAGAGAGGTGGAATGGCATACATAGCAGCTATAACAGCGAGCCATTGCAGGAATCCGCCGAGCGATGCGCCGAGTCCAAGCGTGGCCGCGAGGTGCACGCCCAAGTTGCCCAGGGCCTCACTCAAGGCGTGCCAGTCCTGGTCCAGTGCCATGGCAGCAGCTCCAGGCTGCGACACATCCATGACGAGCGCGCGCGAGGTCACCATAGTAGCAAATCAACTGTGCACACAAGACTCAGAAGCTAGAATTCACGTTGGGGCCGTGGGATGTGAAGATCTCTGGAGCCAAAGCCACAGATCTGAAGAAGAATGCTTCCCCGAGAAGCCCCAGTTCGGGGTTCTATCGAGCCCTTCCCCGCCCAGTCGGTCGGAATTTCGTAGGGAACTGGTATCCCCGGTGGCTGCCACTTGGCGCCTTCTCGGCCTTCATGTAACTCCTTCGTGTCGGTCGCCCACCTCCAGGTTTATTCGATGAAGACTGCCAGCTGTCCGTTCCTCCCGATTTTGACCTGCTCATGTCGCTTGCCATGCATTCGTATATTTCGTGTATTCTATGTACATATATTTTACAGACTATGTATCGTATGAGTTCGTTCATCCCTATCGTGTCGATTTTCGTTCGTTTCGGATTAGAATGATGAAATACGGTATATGATGAAAGGTTGCTTTGTATCTTCATCCTTTTGAGATATGATCCAATAAATGGATGAATTCTGTTCATTCAAGAAAATGGTTCAAGGGGACATCAGTTTATATTGTCTTTTTAAAGTGCTAATGATTCTCAAATGAATGTTTATGTGGTTATTGTTTTTAATGGAGTTGGAAATATTGTGTGTATTGTGAAGTATGTATAAAGTTGTGGCTTGAAATGTAACATTCTCATACATGAATCTTTACTCACGTTGATTGATAGGTGTATTAGTAGTCTACTAACACAAAATCATTAACAAACTTGTTGTCATATTAAGGGGGTTTAGGCATGGTCTTTTCAGGTGATATTTTACTTGTGATGAGATTTCAAAATATCACTTGATACTTCACCAAATCATCCACCTCGTGATTTTAAAATATAAAAAGAAGGGTGCATTGCCTCTGCTCTCCTTCTCTCCTTGACTTCATATCACACTGCCTACCACCAAAGTTTAAACGGTGATATTTTGGATTTGATATTTTGAGTAATATTGAAAATATCAAGTGTTAGATCCCAAATATTGGATTTTGCAAAAGTGCCAAGTTTGAACTCCCTTATTGAAAGATATTTTTAACTATATATTATTCAATAGTTAAAATGTGTTTTTTTTAATTTTATAAATAGAAATTAAAATTAAAATTATTACAAAAGCTATGCTTTTAGTAAAATTCCAAAGTCATAGATATCTCAATGTACCCAAAAAAAGTTATGAGAGTGATTCTTTGATGAAATGAAACCATAAAAAATAAAAATATATATAAACTTATATTGTTGTATATATATATATTGATTGATTTATTTATTTATTTAAGTGTTTTTAAGTATTTCCATTAGTTCATCCAAATTATTCTTTGAAAAATATTATAAATTTTACAATTTCAAATCTGTATCTAATTAATTAAAAAGAGAGTTGTAAGCTACTACAATTACATTTAAACTTTGTTTAGTCTGTATTTTACTTTTCCAAATCACACATTAAGAAGTGTACTTAAAGAAGAAATGGGCGGAAAAAACTCAAATGATTTTCCAAAAAAAGAAAAAAGAAAAGCCATTATTATAATTCTTAGAAGGTGCAGGATGGTGAAAAACTAGAAAGGATACAAATTTTTCTTTGTGAAAAAATAAAAATAAAGTAACCATGGTTAGAAAAAGTTACACACTCTATTTAAGTTGTTTTTCCTCTTTGTTGTGACCCTATTTACAATTATTTACAATTAATATAATGTCTAGTATTTTTAGTTGAATCCAATAATTATAGATTACCAAAGTTTATTTTTACTATTTTCTTTACTTTATGATGTTTTTCTTCTTCCAACTAAATTAAGTTGTTGGTAAATGGACAATTGATCTCAAATGTAGTCCTTATTACTTGTCATAGTCTTTAAAGATTCTATATATAAAATAATATTTATTTATCTGATAAATTATGTAATACTGTAGTGTTTTTTTAAGAGCCAACAAAGATCTTATGTAAAAATTTCTAACAATTAAATTAAAATTATAATATATTATTGTTTTAATCATATGAGCAACTGTAATTGTAAGTTCTAGCTCCAAATCCAAAGCCATCAAAAGCAAGATCACATCAGATTAAATAAATTCTTAAATTTGGTGCCAAGTTTAAAATATAGATTTGTAAAATTGTTTAAGGGATTGGATGTATTAGTAGATGAAGTTATATTTATCTAAACCAACTGAATTAAGAACTCAACACACAAATCATAAACTAGTTCTAACTTTGTGTCACCTTTTTATTCAAGGTGGTTCTTATGATAATCAATTGCATTCTGAGTGAACCACATGAACTCCCTACTTGTTTATTCTCAAATCATTAGTATTTTATTTGATACATGATATTATGAAAAAACTATTCGATTATTTAAAAGCTATTTTATTATTACATTATCAAATGACAATATTTATTGTCATTTATGTGTTCCTCAAATATTGATAGACTATTTAGCTTCATTCTTCTAATAGTTTATGAAGTTGTCTTTTTAGAATTTTGGCATACTTAGGATTGCCATATTTTTGTGCTAAACTTGATCACGACCATATTTTGTGGGTTACAACTTGTTACCAATATTTTAATGTAAAATGTTTTACTACATTCTAAAATTGTGTGCATGTAAACAACACATTTTGTTGTCTTTCTTTACTAAGATAATACAAATTCCCAGCATCACTTCATAACTCCCTAAAATCTTAAAAGTTGCAAACAAATTTTTGAATACACAACATCATAAGAAATGATATTGACTTCAAAAACAACTTTCCTTCCTAAATATTCCATTACTTCTCATATGGGATTAGTAATGCATTTAAGAACAATTAACCACCCACCTGTACACTAAACAGTAACACCATATCAATTGGTTTTATTTGATCTTACATTCAAGAGTTCTATTATCTAAAAACTGGAAAAAAAAAAAAAAAAAAAAAAAAAAAAAAAACTGTGCCAACTTTGTGGAGAATGGTGAGAGTATTCAGCAATCAGGAAACATAGGCCATAGTAACATACTGAGGAATGGATTGGGACCCTCTCAGGTTTCGGGATAAATGAATGTACATTTTGTTTGCTTGTTTGTTTGTTGGATTGATTGTTTGTTTTGCTGTTTTTCTTTCCTTTACTACGAGACTCGTTTTCACGGTGCCATGACCCAGGTGGGTTCCCTGCTGCTTGGCAAGAGGATGAGGCTATGGTGGGTGAATCCATAATACCCCATATTCTATCCACAACAAATCTATTCCACTTCTTCATGATTCTTCTTCACTCGTCCACTTCGTCGAATCCTCTCTCTCTCTCTCTCTCTCCCGCACGTCTTGCAAGCCTTCTGTCACACCTTGTAACACAGACGACGTCGGAGGAAGAGTGATCAGTTGGACCATTCTGCGTTGCTGTGTGTCGATAACCACCCATCTGATCTGAAGAGCTGCTTTGAGAACATGGCCGACACAGGCTCTGGAGTTTTTGTACTTGAAAGCTGTGCACTCGTTTTCCTGGTGAAATTCTCCTGTGATACTATGACGGACCGGGAAGCTCCGACTGTAGACCACACAAGCAAAAATAAATTCAGGATAAGAAAAAAGATGAGACAATTTCACGACATTCGTTTTTTCTTCAACACCGCCCGCCATATCAAAGTGCATCACCGTAGCTTACCGTGAAACTCAATGAGGCTGGTGCATCATGCCAACTCTCAACTTCAACTGCCTGGGCCTCGTCGACATGAGCTTCTAGAGCCGTCCCTTCGTCGTCCAAAAACTGGCTTCCTTCCGCACAAAACTCGACGCTCCCTCTAGTGTCCAGTTGTCCTGCCAGAACTCCCAGAAGATCGCTGGTGTTCTGAGCGAGCTCTCCAGATGGACTCTGCAAAATCTTCAGGAGGTTGTCAAACGCTATCGACAGAGAGTTGTCAGAATCGTCGTCCAACAGCCCCGCATCACTGCCTTCCAGACCAGCAAAGTCCATGAGAATGTCCCCTCGTCCCAGTGTATCCTCGGCGCATCCTGACTCTTGCTCTCCTCCACTCGCCGATGTTTCTTCCTGCACACATTGAGATTTCCAGTCCGCAAATTTAAAAAAAGAAGGCAAACTGGTATCGGTGGCTATGGACTTGTGCATCTGCTAATCAGAAGTGACAAATCAAGCGGCAAGTTGGCTGGGTTGGACCTTTGTTGGCTGGAGATCTGGAATGATGATGTCCATTGACGGTGGTGCTGCGTTACCTCTAGAGGTGCTTGCTTTCACTTCATCAAGTAATCGCTGGTTGGTTGGATCTTCTGCATCACCTTCCTGAGTCTTTTCTATGCTCAAGTTTGCTACTCCGTTTGCTACAACCCATAGACAACTTCACAATCAGTACATCAATCCATGAGTCGTTCCAGAAGTCGAGCATTATTGCGAGTGCGCTTCAAGGAAACATGAAATCCACGACTGATCTTAAGTGGTTGGAAGTTTCCATTTGATTTAGAACTGATCAATTTACGAACTCGTCTACACTTCAGAAATGTTCAGTAGCTAGTTGTAATCTCCAAGTTTATCGCGATCGCAACTGATCTTACATGCTATTGTAGTCCAGATCTATCGTGAACATGTTCACAATTGAATTTTGAATACGTTTTCCTCTTCCATTAATCTTTTTTTCTTTTATCTTATGTTTGTTCGAACTGTTGTGAGAGGATTATACCTTCCGTCAAGTTGTACGTTTCATTTAACAATTCACATCGCTCTTTCTTCAATTCAATAAACTCCATCTGGAAAACAGAATGGTCCTGTGAGTCGAAAGAGTGTGCAACGTCCTTCTTTGGTCCGTTCCGAGTCCGCAGTGTCAAGAGATGGTTCTCCCGAGCGAGAGAGTCATGTGCGAGATTGACGTTGGAGCTAATTTCTGAAAGAGCAGACCGCTGGTTGTCCTGCAGGGGGTTCCCACATTCAAACCAAACACAAACAAAGTAAGAAACAAAATATGCGAAATCTCAGCATAGCGTTACTATGCAAGCAACAGAAGTTACAAAACCCTACGAAGCGTTGCAAGACAACCACAATTAATACTCTCAAATATGACTGTGGGTTCAGTTTCTCACCCTCGGAGTAATGGAAACAGGATGCGTTCCATCGAAGGCTGAGGTTGTCCTAGAATGCCGATGGGCGGGATTGCGTAAAACCAAGGGTGCGGCATTCTCTGATTCACGCAAAGCAGAAGTGGAACCTAGATTCACTTGATGATTCCCATTGTCCTGTACACAAGGACAAAAAAACATCAGGCAGTGGTGTGTAGCTGCAGGTTATGAACACGTTCCCAAATGTCAGCTCTAGCATTCAGCTTCGAACTACATCAATACTCTGCTCGGACTACAAATGTGTACCTGTGTTGCGTTGTCAGTACGACCACCATCTACAAGGCCATGATTAGATGTTGTTATCTTCGTGAGTTCCGGGCGAAGCTCGAAGGTTGCCTCGAAGTCCGTGAACTGAATCCTGTCGTCGGCATCTTGGAATTCTAAGCTCGAAGGTCTGCAATTCACACTCTCGACTCTCCTCTCCATGTCAGGCTGACGAAGAGGGGTTTGCGGCACTGCATCTACCTTAGAAATAAAGTTCTCCACCTCTTTAAGAAAACATTCAACGGACATCTCCAGCGGCAGTGTTCTATCTTTCAAGCCTCCCTCGACGGAATGAGAGTCGACACGCACTTCAGACTCTTTCGGATTCCCAGCGGAATCGCATCGTCTCGTGGAACTGGAATCATGTAAACTCTGGTAAGCATGTTCATTGGCGAAGCAAAGAAGCTTTTGGGCAAGGTCGCGGCATGAGTCGTGAAGCTGAACTGAATCCCTTTGCGCACAAGAGCTTAAATCAGGTGAAGAATCGCGAATCGTTGAGCTCCGCTTCTTCAAAAACAGCTTCACGTCGCAGAAATTCTCAAGGCGCGCAATCGTTTCCACGAGGTTCATGTAGGGAGAGTTCGCTGGTTGCCCGAGCGATGAACAAGACTTCCGCGCCGGTACTTTTTTGGCGCTCCCCTTGGGCGCAATGGGAGGAATGTCAGTGGAGAATCGACCAAGTGGGGCAACATCCGAGTTTTTGCTCTTAGGAGAGTGGGGAATGCAAGAAGTGGAGGATCTCCTCACAGAACTCATTGATCCCCGCGCTGGCGATGGCGACCTGGAGAGGTCTGATCCCAATCCTTCGCTGGGCAGGGAGAAGAGTTCACTGCTGTGAGGAATTGCAAAAGATCCATCGAGGCTTGGCCGTAAAGAGGCTGTGGACACTTTGCGGCTCTCACTGTCATCGTTGTACATGTGCAAAAACCTCTTCAGCGAGTGGCTGTGGTCCTGTGCTTCGCAGCGTGATGGTCGCGCGGGGGAAGAGGCACCGTGGTGAGAAATGGTGACGGCCACCACCGCAGCTTTGTGCTGCGCCTCCCCGCACCGACTCAGACACAAGCCCATTGTGCAGCTGGAAGACTCCCCTAGCTCTCGAGGGACGCCACAATATTCTCAATTGACAATTGACAGAAACTCGACGACTCTACATGCAAGAAACGGAACCGCAATTGTAAGAAAGTCAAAATTGAACAGAATGGGCACAACTCTGAAGTGCCTTGATGAAATGAGACTCATGCTGCGACCCACAAACCGTGCCTTAAACCCACAAATCTTAAAACGATTGTAAGCCTCAACTTGCAAATTCATTAAGTAATCGCAGACTCAACAACGAAACCAGATTCCATCACATTGTGTACTCCGTCAGGTGGACCATAAGTACTCCCTCACATCCCACACCGCCTTCCAACAGCAGTCCAGTATGCGAAAAAAAACACCTCAACGAAGATCCTCGCACCACTGAAGCAAACCTCGCTCACATTCTCCATAACAAAAATCTAGCACAAAAGCCTGCGATCACTCACCAAAGCAAAAAATAAACCAGCAAATTATGCAATCCAACTTCGCCAAATGATATGAGATATCCGAGCTTCCTCCAGGAAACACATTCCTACCATCGTCACCCAGCTCCGTGACAAAAGCACCACCAACGCAACCAGGAGGAACACTGTAAACTCAATTCTAGCTCACAAAAATCTTCCAAAGGGGCAAACGCAAATTTTGCTCCGCGGGTTTGCAATTAGCTTCAGCTGACGACAATTGGAAACCCGAAAACGGTGCGGAGAGATCAGGCAAGCACTTTGAAATCGTTGGCGCCCATGAGGGCAACGGAAGCGTTTGGCTTGAACCATAAAGGCCCAGTGTAGAGGTGGGCGCAGTAGTTATGAGAGCATTACTATTGTTGCACACAGGGAAATTAGTTAGTGCTCGGTAATGGAATCATGCCATCTTACCTTTACCTTGGGGAAAACCAGGGGGGTTACCTTGGAAGGGGCTCCCGCACATTAATGACTAATACGGAATTCAAAATTTCTCGGTCGAACACTACGTCACTATAAACCCATGTTCAAGTGTTTTGGTGGAATTCCTCCCTTTCTCCCTCGCAGCCTGTGCCCACACACTCCTCACCGCACACACATCCCCTCCCTCCCGAATTCATTTCACAGTTTCCGGAGGAACGCGACCATCGACATTTCTAATGCAGTAGTGGCAGACCGAGGCGTTTGGGGTGTGCGGTACATGGTGACGCAAATTAAGAAGCGGCGATTGATGTGGCACCAGGAATGAATTGCGCCCTGCTTGATTGACCACGGTTTGACTGACAGGAGAGCGAGCCTCGCTCGCTCATGGGGGCGTTTCCTCGTCACCGCCTTCCTGCGCCTGCTTTCAAATTGCCCCTATTCTTTTGCCTACGCTGATGCAGGGCATTCAATGCGCTCTCTCCCTCAAAGTCCAGCCCCAATCGGGGGAGTGCCCTCACCACGCCCATTGCCATCGTCGCCTGATTATGCGCAGCGTGTGGTCGAATATAGCAACCCACAAAAGCCGAGCGAAACGCCCGACGAAGCCGTGTCTGCGCACCATCTCCCGCCGCCACTAGCCGCTCCCACGCGGCTTCCCGCGGCTGAAGCTGCGGCTTGCCGTCTCCATGGGCAGGGAGGGATGACGAATTCGGGCAGCGATTTACAAAAACAATGTTCCTTGGCGACAGGCAACGGGTAAAAGAGCAATGTGGGGGAAAAAGTAAAAGTAAAGGAGTGTTGTGCAGTATTTTGAGAATGGTTTTTGAGGATGCATTGCGTGACTTGCAACAGTCTGTATGTACTTTAAAAGCTCGGCTCACATTCTTCGTCTGCTTTATTTTAATTTATTTTACTTTCGTTATTTTCAATTTGATGAAGGTTTAGGGACCCACATGGAATGGGGTGAAATGAATTCGGTGCTTGTGTGTTAATTACAGTGTGTGACAGAAGGATCTCTCAAGCATCTGTAGATCTTAACTTCCTAAACCTTGTGTGGGGTTTCACTTTAAATTAAATTCGTTTGGGGTACGCTTGAAACAATCTCGAAATCAACAAAATAAAAAACACAATTTATGAGTTTTTAGCTCTTTTTAAAAAATATTCTTTTCGATAGGATTAAGATAAGTTTTGAAAATCAATGTTGTTGTAAAGTTGTAGTGTCTTAGAATACTTTGTAATGCACCTTAAAAATATATAGAGACATTTTAATATTAGTTATGATTCCTAATGAGGTATTTTCGAGTTTTTTATTTGTATTTTTCTTTATAATATAAATAAATAGAATTTGTAGACAACAATTAGGACAACTAGAATACTATGTATTTTGTACCACAGCCATCAATGATATTATTTTCTAAATCCAAATAAAGTGATTCACAAAATAAACCGAAACCATAGCATATATCATGGGTTGCATAAATATTGTTACGATAAAATACATAAAATTTCTTTGATGGCCATATTAAGTCATGACGGATTTGGATCTTATGCAATAAACAAAATCTAATTTTGAATCAATAAGTTTAAGAATGATATGAAACTTGTTCTTTTTATACATGCTTTACATAGCTATAAGCTTCTTTTCTGAATTTTAAGAGACTCTTTATTCTTTTTGCAAAGGAAGTTTTGTAATTTAACTTTAAAATATTTTTTAACGAAGAAATTTTATATCGAAAAAAAAATAAAATGGATCTACAAAATATTAACAAAACCCGGTATTTAATTAATTCTTAACTTTTTAATTTTTTAGAAAATATATCGATAAAAAATTGTAATAAACATAAAATCCAATAAAAATAATATTATAAATTTTACATATATTTATAAATATATTCAACAGGACCATCCTACCAAAATTATTAATCTGAATACTAAAAATCCAATCTCGAGTATTAAAATGATAAAAATAAATTCAAAAATGTTGTCTAATAGTGAGAAAAAATCTATCTTTACAATCACTCTAACAAAAGGAATATTTTTGAAATTACGTTTTAAATACTTCATTTTTTACATAATTTTCAATCTTCATGTATATATATATATATATATATATATATATATATTTGAGAACTTAAAATCCTTTTTACATTTAATAGCAACAAAGCAAAGAAGAAGGATTATAAACAAAATTCTATTGCTTGAAAAGAAAACAGCATATGTGTTGCAAATTAATGTGTTATATATATATATATATATATATATATATATATATATATAAGTTGTATTTAATTTTTTTTTCCAATGATATTATGTAATATTAGAATTGAACAATCATTTTAAAATTTGATTCAAAGTTGTGTGTTCTTGTGAATGTATGTAAATGTAACTTAAGTAATTAAAAGTTGATCAAATAAAAATATTACAAACTACTGTTTTATTATTTGCTATAATTAAATGCTTGCAATTTTAAAACATCATTAAAAAACATCAGTGGAAAATTTCAAAATAAAATATTTTAAAAATCAAAACAAAGTTAATGTTTTGTTAAAATGAATGTGTCTGACAAGATTCTTATTTCTTTTGTACTACATTAGCAAAGTTTGGTTGCAGCACCTGTATGTGTTAGTTTATATCATAATCATGCCGATGAACCAAATATTCTAACTTTCCATGTCTTAGTCTTAAATCAAGTACTTCATTTATTTCAACTTTTCTAAAGTTTAAAGTTTAAGAAAAAGATTTTATGAATCTCTTCATTTGAAATTTTAAAAAATTTGAAAATGTATCAATTTTTGAATTAATATAATAAAAAAACTCAAAAAAATAATATGCTTCTTATTTAATAATATAAATTTGTATGACAGGTCATAAAAGTTAAATTTTAAACATGATTTATATAGTCAATGTTTATCAGTTCAAAGTTACATACGGACAATACTGTATATATATATATATATATATATATATACATACATATAAAATTACCAACATCTTGTGAAATTTTGGAACTTCTTTAAGCTCAAAGTTCATTCATTTTTTGTAGCTTAAATGGTATTTTTGAAAACAATTTAAGTGTCAACTTGCATTTATATTTGCAAGACTAGATTTTTGTGTTTGAAATGAAAAAGTTTTAATACATCAAGTGATTTTACAACCAGCTTTATATGAAAAATATAGTTAAATTTTATACCAGAATAAAATATCTATGTTTTTGCAGTTATTTGGTGTGATTTTTTGATAGAAAGTTTTGAGCATAAATAGCATATAATTATTATTCTAAGATGCTATTTTAAAAAGTACAATATAATTTAATTTTTAATTTTTAATTTTTTTAAAAATATGTTTTAAAATTGATTTCTACAATCAAAATCATATGATTATTTTCTTTTATTTTATTGTTTTACAAAATATTAATAAACAATAAATGGTTTTGTCACACACTAATCATTGCATGTTCATTATTATTATTATTATTATTTCTTGCCCATCATATGTTTATCTTCTACATTAAGTATTTAAAAATCATCCTTAACATTTTACAAAATAATTTTTTTAAACAATTAATATTATAAATTCATTTAAGTATGTATAGATTTATATATTCAAAAATAATATATTATATAAAAGCATCATAAAGTAAAATATAAAAAATAAATAAAAATAAAAATCATTGTATCATTAAAAATATAATAACATGATTATAATAAAAAGCACAAAAATTAATGTATTTTTTTAAGAGAACAACTGTGTAGACACCTCTCTTTTATTGTGTGGGCACTTACCTTTTATTGTGTGAACACCCCTCCTTTGTCATGCACCTTTGCATATACATCCATGCATAAAATAACTAGTTTTGATTATAAACTCATAATTATTGTCTTATTAATATAATACCAAAATTTGATTTATCCATATCTATATATATTCTATGGCTCTATATTCTCTCAATCTCTAGTTCTTTTGACCTTACAAATCTTTATCAAATTATATATTTGAATAATAAAAATAAAACATCATTTTTTTATTATGCTTACTATTTATCAATTTTAGTTTTTTAATAAAAAATAAATATTTTTATATTCAAATACTATTTTTATTGTATTTATTAAAAATACTAAGAAGCTTAAATTATAGTATTTGGATGTATTTACAATATTTCATGTTTATTTGTAATTTTTTCATTGTTTAATTGGGTATATACATATATAAATGTACTAAATAATGTTTTTTACTGAAAATGTTTTTTAAAAAAGTTTTAAACATGTTGGACAAGGTTTTGGTAATAGATATCAGAAAGTGAGTAAATCATAAAAAGAAAGGTTTACTTTTTGTTTATTAGTTTATTTATTTTTAGTATATGGTAATTTTTTCAAATTCATTTTTTATAATATATATATATATATATATATATATATATTAAATATTGAATTATTCATTATACATTACTTTTCATAAAATGTATTTGATCTTAGATTTTTTGGAAAATTTTAGCCTTCAATCTTGTATTATGTTCGAATTTTACCAATTTATTTATATTGGATAATAGAGTAATTAGAAAAAATTATATTATCCCATATTAAGATTGATTTAAAATGAAGAAATGTTTGAAAATATTAAGATATATCAACTTATGATCCATGGATTGTTTAAAAATAGAAAGTATCTAAAGTTTCATAGATACTTCTGTGTTGCACCTAACTAAAGAAATCAGCAGTAAAACACATTCAAGAAATATTTTTCAATCAATTTTATAAATTTCCATAGTATCTACGCTCAGCTAGTTATGTGAATGTTTTTAGTTATTCTTTTTAAAGTATATGTGTGTAAAATATGAGATAAAAATGTTTACAAAAGAGAGCTCTATTATAAAACATGTAAAGAAGGAGGGGGGGGGGGGGTATAAATCAATGAGATAAACCAAGGAGAAAAAATGGTCTTTTGATTGGTTGAATTTCTCAATCATCATTGTTTTCATCAAAACTTAACTTAACTTGCCAATTCTCATGGCCTTAATAGAACCAATTCTAGATTAAGATAAGTCATATGATGCTCTATATTTTTTGTATTTTTAAGAGTAATTTTTATAGTTTTTTTCCTAAGATTGTAAGAATGCATTGAATCAAAAATAAACAATGATTTTTTTGGTAGAAGTTAAAAAAAATGGATTCAATGAGATAGAGACATCTTGTATGATAAAAGTTTGAGTTTGTGATGTGCGGCACTAACTCTTTGTGAATTGACTGCAAATTACTTTGTGTGGTAGGATACAACTAAACATTAAAGAAAAAAAATGTGAAAGTCAAAGAAGAAGACCAAGTTACTTTGTGTGGTAGGATACAATGCAACATTAAAGAAAAAAAAAATGTGAAAGTCAAAGAAAAAAACCAAGTTTGTAAAGTACTAGGAATACAATGTGATGGTTAAGGAAGCAAAGCCCAAAATAATGAAATTGTAGCAAAACGGGTCCCTTCTCATGTGATTGCAAACCCAAATTTGTGTACTCAATGATCTACCTTTAGGTGAGTTCTAATTCATGCAATCTTGTTATCAAAGTTAATCATTGTAGGGACTTCAAACCTCCACAATGTTTAATTACATGGTTGTAGAGTTGTAGCTAAAGAGTCAATAACAATGTGGACTTGGGAAGTCACATGTGGATTTAGTCTAGGGGGCCGCACAATACAAAGTAGATTAAGAAGAAAAACAATAAAATAGAGAAAGTAATATTAGTGATGTAGCAAGGTGAAGGACTTGCATTGAAACTAACACATGCAAAGTATAGAATCAAGTGCCTCCAATACTTAGATTTAAGTGATAAGTCATTATTATCACCAATTAATCAAATTGATATTTGAAGTCTATTTTATGATCAAGTTTGAATATCAAGAGGCCTCACCATTGGTCTCGATGTGAATCGTTTGGTGATTTTGACATTTCTACATGCCTAATATTCTTTTTCTAGAGGCATATTATGAGAGAAGTATTTATTGAAATTTATGAATTCTGTAAAAAAAAAATCAATTGTAATTGGATTACAATGAATGTCTAAGTCATTTATTTTTGTAGTTGTTTTGCAAATTGGTGGATTAGTTGGCAATATTTATGTCAACCTGAGAGAGGATTTGGAGTTGAAGTATCTCAAAATAATGATAAACCAAAAATGCTTTGCACTTATTATATGCTTCAATCCACTAGGAGTTCATGACATGTATGTTATGACATGTATGTTATGACAATCTGTTGTGTTCAATAGCCTGCAATTATTTTGTCTAATGTTGTCTTGGTTTATTTTTTGAACCATTGCATGAGATGTTGCATTGAAGACATGGTTTTTCAAGTGCCAATGCCATAGGTTTTTACTAGTAATTTACAATATCTAATAAATTACATTAATATTGAATAACAGTGATTGTATTAAATGCAAGATTGTTAGAACCTTAGTAAGATTCATGATCTATTTATTCAAAACACATTGTAATTTCATCTTAGCAAACACATATTTATGTTCATTTAAAACACATTAAAAATAAATTATTTATTTGTTTATGATAAAATTTAACCTTATAAATTGAATGTTTAAAGTTATTAGATTTTTAGGTTTTTTTTTAGGTTTTTTTAGGTTTTTTTTTTTTTTTTTTTTTTTTTTTTTTCTCCCTTGATAAGCATACATGATAAATTAAATACAAAAACTCAAACTGTTCTAGAGAAGAATTTTTAGAGACTGCATGCATGCTTATAATTGCAATTGTAGATTGCTTAAGTATTGGTTATGGTTGGTTTTTTAATTATTTATTTATTTTCTCTCTCTAAATGGTAACACAATTTAGGAATAATAAATAATTTTTTTTGATAATAGTCAAACTAGTTTAGAATTTTTTTTTTGATACATCCAAATAAACCAATAAGAAATTATAATTAAAAATAAAAACAAAGAAACAACTAAATGGCTACATTTACCTTGTAAAATAATGATGTAAGTGTTTAATTATTTGTTTCCAATCTACAATGTATTTGAGTATATATTTGGGTTTTATTAGTTTAAACGTCATGCACTTTTGAACTTAACATTAATTATTTAATATTATTTATTTTTATATAATATTTTCTTGTAAATTGTATTTTTAATTTATTACTAATTTACTATTGAGTATTTTAAAGAATAGATGGATAATCTATAATTTATTCAAATAAATTTATATTTTACATTAATTTGGATAACAAGGAAGAGCTTAAAAATCTTTTTGACTTTTGTTCCATGCATCACTTGTACTTTTTAACTAGAAAAAGAGATAGAAAATAAATAAATAAATAAATAAATAAATCACAAGATTATCAAAACTACTTCAACAAAGCAAAATATATGAATAAAAATCTTGCCACAATTCTATTACATGAAACCTTGTTATTTTTTTGTAACAAACCAAATTGCAATTTCGTCACCCTAATTTCAAGTTTCAACACCCCCAGTTTAATTTTTTAAAATAATTCCAACCATTCAGAATCGAAATATAATCACAATTCAATAAAACATGTATTGGAAAATTAGGATTTTAACCCAATGCAAGCAGTGATGATACACAGGTCTGTTGCAATCTGAAGCAAATGTTTAACATAATTTAGAAAAAGCACTTTTGTAAAAGAACATATAAACTCCCAAAAAATTAAACCCATTTTGATTACCATTCTTATGCAGTACAATTTTTTTTAAAGTAATAACTGTTTGGCCTTTTGTGAGGCATAGTTTTAAATATGAGTTATCCCAGAAGAAAGGTCAGTTTTCCTACACACTACACAATCGACATGTACAATACGTACAATACCGTATATTGATGAGACTAGCACGGGAGGAATGGGTAGGGTATTCCCATTGCTCCGGGGATTTAAAACCTGGGCTGTGAAGCCCTAATGCTCGTGGCTATGCAGCGTGGAATTAGTCTAATCGTGCGAAGCGTCAGTCTAGTGTAGTAGTGCTTGAATTTCACTCACTCAGCTTAGCATTTCCCCGCATGGGAATGCAGTGAAATTTAGGGATCACAGAACAGTTCTGTGAAGGTTGAGTTCGCCAATTGAAGTTGTGAATTACGAGAATCGTTTGGGAGTTGATTTTTTTGCAGCGAGTTTTTGGATTTTGCACCGGTCGTCATTTGGTGAATTTGGCAAATTTGGAGAGCGATGGCAGCTCGAGGTCGTGGGCGGGGGAGGGGTCGAGGTGGAGGAGCACAGTTTCTGGCCAGAGACGATGATGGGAACCTGATTTTCAATAAGAAGCAGGAGGGACCGACTCCTCTGTTTCCTGTGAGTTTTAGCGCTTATCTTGTATTTTCCTTTGTGGTTTAGGGGTTAGTGTTTGACTTTGTTTTTTCTTCGCTAAATTTTGGAGGACATTTTTAATTGCAATGTGAATGCCTTCAATTTTATATATATATATAATTGTTTTTTCACAATTATATTCCTGTCGATGCAGAAAGTCGAACGACTCCCAGACTTGCCTACAGTAACGAAGAGAGATGAAATGTTGGTGTTTCGGCGACATCACCTCCAGAAAGCATGGGAATGCTCGCCGTACTACATTGAAAAGATCAAAACGAAGACTGGTACGTATTCGGAGCTAGTTCCTTGTTAGGACTGGCTGCTTAATTGCCAGGTTTGGAGTTTTGGATCATGCAAGGGTTTTGACCAGGAAGGCATCATGTCCGTCATTTTGCAGAGGGTATAGTAGCCGAGATAGATCGGTATTCCGATCGGTACCGGACTAACAGAAGAGCCAACCGTGTGCCGCTCAACTCTGTGCTTAAGTTAACCGGTGCTTCTTTCCCAGTAGAACTGTTGGGTCAAGGTTGTACTCCTCTTTTTCGCTAGTGCTGGAGCTCTGCAATTTTCATTCGTATTTTTTATTTTATTTTTTCAGGTTGGACATTCTCATTGTCTTCTCTTGCCAGCATGTATCAAGTTTGCGGTTCTCACAGTGTTGGTCAGCTTATGCAGGTCGTGGTCGGGGAAAAGGGGTTTTGCCTCCAGGTTCCACCCCATGGGTGTTACAAACAAGTTTGGCAAAGACTGGTTAGTCTCTTCATATTTTCTGGTGACATTTAGCATTATTTTATTCATTTTTAAAAATCAGACACAGGTTCTTTGATCGAAAAGTACATGTATGACATAAAGTGCACTTCAAGGCAGAAACTGATGATATATTGTGATCGCAGATTTACATAGACTGGATCAGCTTGCTTCACTAGAGCAAAGACGCCTGAAAGATGAGGTAAACATACAATCTCTCGCATTAAGTACTGATGATGGATCCTATCACATTCCGCCTACTGATTTTGCAATAAAGAATCTTACACTTGTGGATGATGAACTTCTCTCCATTTGAGCGTCGATCAAGGATCTACAGTTATGAATGGACTACCACAACTGGTATCATGAGTTCTGATCAATTTTAACCTACATTGAATGCAATGTTACAGGAGAAAGGGGATAAAGATGGCGAGGAGAAGAAGCCTGGAGAAGGAGATGATGGTGATGGCGAAAACGAAGAAATTGAGGATGAGGAGGATGAGATTGCAGACGATGACTATGCTCAGGTTCATGATACTTCCGAGCATATTGTATTTCTACGTTGAATAGCGTGGCCCAATTCTTCATATTTTCCCAAGTCCTAGTTCGGTACTCTAATCTTTTGAAGGTCAAGTCTACAGTCAAGGCTCATCGTGGGGTCATGAATATCAATCTAACGTCGACTTCTGGATTTTCTTCTGTTCTTCAGACCTTTGGCTTCGACGATGATGAAGAATACGATGTGGATGACGGTGGAGATGATGGTAAGCATTCCACTTTGAATTTAAAAAAGTTAGCCCATTATAGTGTTCATTCCTCTTTTCCAAGTATACTGTTGCAGCTTGTATCTGTGCAATTAAGGATTTAGGCAACAGATATGTTCTTGACTTCAGCTTGCTTTGTTTGTGAAACAGAAGGACCGGTTTACTAGGCATATGTCATCATCAACGTTCAATGTCAAACTTCTGAACGATTCATTTTGTACCCAATAGTAGCCAGGAATATCATTCAAGGTGAATCTTCTTCGTGTATTGTACTCTGAGAACTTGTATTGTAATCTTATCAAATTGTTATCAGCCTCTTCCACGGATGGATCCAAGACAGATTAGGCTTAAGTTTGCATCTTTGTTATCCGTATGTATGTTGACGGTGTGCTTGTTTTTCAGGTCATTTTTGGACTTATCATTTATTGGTTTACAAAACCAGAAGCGCTTGATTCATCTCTAGCATTTGACTCATCGTTGCCACTGCTTTTGCTGTTCCTCTATTGTGGAAGCAATTGCATGTGTAGACCAGTAACTATAAGACCACCACATGATTTGCCAGACACCAATGCGTGTGGAAGTGGATACTTGCCGGTGCAAAAAATGAACTTGTATGAAATCGCCACCGGTCATGGTTTTCTATTTGGTCAACCACATCTTGGCCAGAAGCGGTCAAAAGTGGGATTCTGCTGTTTGAGTACGGAAATCTTTCAGCTTTTTGGCGATTCCCTCTCCGTTTCCCATGGTCAGTTTCATCTATGAAGCGCGGGATTGGGATTTGAAACTTTTTTTTGATGACAGACAATTATTGTTTTCATGTGTCTTCCTAATTCCGAGGGTGAAATGCGGCAATTTGTTTTACCTTTAGTTGCCGTGGGTTTAATTTAGTGGAGCCTCAAATTGTTACTCATCTTTCAAAAGGGTATCCTACAGCTTGTTTATCTGCATATGATTCGTGGGCACTCGATTGGCCACATTGAGCAGGTGGAAGTTCTGGCTTATTGACAAAAGCATTAAGAACACACATGATTCAAGTTCCTTTTTATTGCAACTCGTTCATCTTGAAAACATTTTCTCACAAAATATTCCTTATAAAACCTCACCTCATCTAAAGTTATATGCACTTCGAATTCAAAGTGGTAAATATACAAATCGAATCTATGCCAGATTATTGCTTGAAGACATGTGGGAGGGCATTAAAACATTACATCGGAGAAGGTCGGGGATAGCAGCAACGGAGTGATGAACCCAATGTCGACAACTGTAGAGCAGTAAACCTTCGAGCAAGTGAGGTGAATTGGAGGTTCTGAAATTGCCACCACTCAAAAGGGTTCGCCATTTGCCCCCAGTGAGGATCGAACTCACGACCTTTCCCTTACGAAGGGAACGCTCTACCACTAAGCCATGGAGGCAGTGTACCTTAGTTCGTCTATGCGGGTGTCTACTATACATATAAAGGTCCATTATAACTACAGATTCAACTTAAAAAATTATTCAATTTGTAAAAAGCATGATCTTGGGTTTTGAAGTTCCATAAAATATAGAAGCTTTATCAAGTTGTAAGTTTCCATTATTATGATATTGAAGAATTTGTGAAAATACTGTGTTTAGTTATATATATATATATATATATATATATATATTTGATAGAATTAACCAAAGGTATTAATTATTAGACATGTATATTATCACTCTGTAAGAGAAAAGAAAAATAGAAAGACACTAAAAGTATATAGGATACAGGTTTGTGGGTGAGTGTTGTTACAAAGAATAATTTAACTAAGGCTTTTCAAATTATCTTAAATTGCAATAAAAATTTAATGATATAATTCTTTTAGGAGTGAAATATAATTTCTTTTAAACACATGGTGTTTCTTAGTGAGTTTAATTATTTATTTATATTTAACTATGTTTTTTTTCTAATGCATAATAAAGATACTAATATAGATATAGATATACTAAATTGTTCTTTCTTGGAAGATGCAAAATTTATCAACTTGGTAATAAATCAAATTGCGATTATGAAATTTGTTACAATTTAGGCAACATATGAATAGAGAATTTAGCATTACCATAAAAATTTATTTATTTATACCAATAGTAAAACTTTAAGAAAAGTGAGAAAAGCAATATACCTATACAGACTAAGATTTTTATTCTAATGATTCTGCGTACTTTAAGTTAGATTTGAAAATAAGTCTATCTACTTAATAATCTGTTGTAATACAATTTATGTATGATATTAGACATGTATATTCATCATTGGTTTTGTGCTATTCCTATTTCTTTTTCTTATGATATCATCACATACCTTTTTATTTTTTTTGTTTTTATAGTTACATAGCATTCTGCCAGAGAATGTCGGACGAGGCCTACTAAAAAATAAACTCTTAAGCGCCACAGATAGTTGCAAAGTGTGACATCTGTAATTCCTCAAAATATTAGAGGATTTGTGGGTTCATTAAGGGACATCTATGGACTGATTTGAGTTCAGCTTTAGCAAAAATACAATGAGTACAACTCCATGGGCCTTTAACTTTCTGTTGGCAGATTTCATATGGGTGGTCTACGAAGCTCATACTCAGGTTGATGGCAACGCAAGAATTGGGATGGGTTTCAAACCGCATCTTATTCTGAATGTCCAAGTGTTTGCTTATTTGTGCATGTGAAAGACATCACTGTAAAGGTACCAATACCAGGCAATGATACAAAGCTTTGAAAACCCAGTCAAAAGGGATAACCCATAGTTCTGTGTAAGAATCCTAGAGAGCTTCATTTTCTTCCTGATGAGCATTCTCTAATCCAAACTCAGTGCAACTACATTTCTTGCCAGAGAAAGGTTATTTTACTCCCAATTACAGGCTACTGCTTACACTATACTAGGGTAGGATTCACAGCCAAAAACTCAAAACTCGTATCCACTAGATGTACTGACGTGTCTTGATCTCCGACCGCCTTTGTCTTTGGAGGCATTTCGCGAATTTCGCGACCTTCCACCTCCTTTGACATGAGATGCGGCTCGATTTCTGGTTTTCTCGAGTCTTTTCTGCAATTTCGGATCTTCCTCCTCACCTGATTCTGATTCATCGCCTTCGTCCTGTAAAGAAAAGCACTGAGAAAATAAATAGTGGAAAAAACAAGATTAGAGAGCACACAAGTTTCAAACACATCCGCAATGAGATAGATTACGTCCGGCTCCATATCTACAACCTGATGAAGCATGTACAAATATACATTACGAATGTTCAGCCAAGTGTATGAGATTAGAGGGTGCAAAGAAACATTTCCTAGTGGCATCATTTCCACACGAAGCCAAGCCATCCGAGCGTCGATAGTAAAGAGCAATCACCAGCCATCAATAAAAAATTTAGTACTACGACTGCATGTCGTGACAAGCGCTACAGCTCGAGAGCACTTACTGGCTTAGTTGCTGCGTTTTCTTCACTCACGACTGGCAAAGACTGGGGGTCTCTTGAGGAATCAATCTCTTCATCTAATCTATCATCAACCGTGAGCTTCTGGAACGACCCTCCAGCGTTAGAAATATTGTCAACATTTTCTGCCTGCAGGTTTTCAGAATCATCTTCCTTTTCTTCCTCTTCTTCCTCTTCTTCCTCTTCTGAAAGGTCTTCTTCGCCCTCAGCGTTCTCAATAAACTGCAAGAGAATAATCATCTGATAAGCACAAAGGACGAACATGCAGTTCAACAGCAAGTTCTTTAGCACTATCACGTCTTTACATTAATTTAGATAAAACGTCGTTGGATCATGTTCAGCTGGAGGCAGTGCATGCAAGGAAACTTTTACAGTCTCAGGTAATATCACCGACCTGTTCCAAAGTCTCTTGATCTTTACGGGTAAATCCACTTGCTTCAAGAACTTTGTCCAAGGATTCTTCACCACCAGCCACTGTCTCAAAGTCGGGGCGTCCGTCACCCTCTTCTTCATCGTCATCCAAATTCTCAGCATCTGATGGTCCTTTTAACATTTTGATCCCTGGTGGAGAATAGTTAAACCTGTACCCACTCGAAAAAATTCCCATGATTAATTAAGACGTTGCTCATTCATGAAAAAGATGCCAAGTGAAGAAAATTCAGTTTTCTGAGCATCAACACAGTACAAAACAAGAATATACTGTATACCTTACCTCTTTCCAAAAAATTTGAAAATACATTCGACATCTCTATCAAAGTACCTGAAATAACATGTCAAACACCTTGATCAGGCAAGACTACAACTTATGTAATAATAAAGTCACACTTAGCCAAACATACATCGAATGTAGCTATTGCTATGAATCGGACAACAATGCATACCATAAAAAGGCACAAAGACTTACATTTCAGCATTGCGATGAGTAATAGAGACCATTTGAGGAAAATCAATCATGGTAATATTCTCCTCGTCATCAATCTGTAAGCCACTCTTTTAGCACACTGACGACTTTCCGATGTATTTTTATCCCACATTCAGAAGAATACTACCCAGAAGATTAGAACTTGATGAAGAATACGAATTTCTTGAGAGAGAGAGAGCGAGAGAGAGTCCACGAAACGCATATGCATACCATGAGATTGAACTCGTTGAAATCACAATGTATTAGACCATGTTGTGCCAGCCGAGTGATGAGCCCTAATACTGTGTCAAATGCTTTCGCAGGGTCTGAGAGATTCTTCACTTGCACCCTGCCTCAGACCAAAACACATCTCTGAGTAACTAACAAGAACGTCCATCTAACCAAAAGAAATCAATATAATACAAAAAACCACACTTCAAAAACCAGTGTGATTGTGCACAGAGAAAAGGCGAGGGATAAAAATATCATGATGTGAAAACATAAAATTGAAAAAATTAGACTGAACAATAAACTGTGTCATTACTGTGACAAGTAAACAGATTTAAACATGTATACGAAAAATGTACTTACATAGGATAACCCTTGACAAGGGTCATGAGTACACAATGTCGATTCCAATCTACAGCCCTAGGAACAGGGAATCCATGTTCTCCTAGTGCCTGAGAAAGCAATGATTTAATTGGTGAGTTCAATCGGCAGGGAATTAAAAAGAATATTAAACTATGATAACCTCAAGAATGAAAGGCCTCATTTGAAGTGCAAAGACAAACGCATGCGAACTATAATAACTCAAATTAAAAAGAACGATAGCGTGTATTTCTTTAGAAAAAAAATTAGAAAACATTGTCAAAGATAATAAAACAAAACAAGACAAAACAAAACCCCAAAACACCTTTTAAAAAAACAACAAAAACAAAAAAAAAATACAACCGAATGACAAACCAGTAGAGTGGGCCTCACCTTCATGAAAGCATACTCCTTGAGAGCCGCCAGTCTCGACAGATACAGCCAACTATAGCTATTGCGATGTTTCAAGTAATCTCGCTTTGACTTAACAGCCCGGAAGGATGTACGACCCAACCTGTGCAACTTCAAGGCCATAGTTTCTCCTTCTGGTGTCACCACCTCAAATATGTCTGCACACCCGCCATAGAAAGGAACAATCACTACAAATCACGAGTTCGACCTTAAGCTGTAAATCTCCGGTGTAATTATAAGAAGGATTCCGCGATGCATCAGGTTGCACTCAGGACATGGTCGACCAAGACTTCCAATTCTACGAAATCTTTAGTGCGAAGAAATTTCAGATAAACACTCTACAAGGTAATATAATGCCTATATATGAGAAGCGTACAGATGCATACCTGATTCCTTGCCAACTCCAATTTGACGCCCCACACCAGATATCAGCCCTCGACTAACCATAGTCCTTATGGCTAGATAATCATACCCTAAATTCGTCAATCGGAACCCGTCATCTGCACATAACGAACAGTCATGTTGAATTCGGTAAACGAGTCACACTCACAGTACCCACAACAATGACCACAAAGTAAGATTTAACACACAGATACACAAAAACCCAAATATTCTAATAATTAACTGCGAGTAACGAAATCATTATAAACTGGTGAGCTCAGCACAGTAAACTTTGCAATCATTCCTAAAGTTCGTGCAAGAGATTAAAACATACACTTGGAAGAATCATGATGGGTGAGTTTATGTCTCAGAAGTGTCTTCATGTTCTTATAAGCTCCCCCATGCCTGCAAACGCCATCGCATAATTTAGACTGAAAGCGATTAAATGAGCTTACACGGCACAAGCGTACACTGCCCGACAATGTTTTGGACAAAGTAAGCTGACCCTGCGGTTGCTCCCACTACAATTGCGAAAATATACTGCGCAGATGTCAACAAAAATTCGGTTGCGATTGCAGAAAAGATACAGAGTTCACGAAAGTACTTGAGGCCAGCAATACGATCCACGAGCTCCGCGGGCACAATCTCATGCTGCACAAAGCGAAAGTGCTCATAAATTCCATGCAGACAGAGTTCCTCGCGGTTCAATCTGCACTCATGAACTCGACAAGAAATTCTGAGGAGGTTTCGACGTGACTTACATTCTTCATGCCCATCTCCACGGCTGTAAGAACACGGAACTCATCTTTGGTGAGGTAGCGCAGCGCATTCACGTCTAACTTCATGTTGCAAACTCCCGCCCGCAACAAGCACACGCACGCAACAAAAAAGAACGTGAAATCCGCCGATCTTAGTGTGCTGATCTCGTCTCCTCGGGTCAAAATTTTTGTCTCTGGAGTCTCAAGAAAATTAGGGTTCAGGGTTTAGTGCTCGAGTACAAACCTTCTCCGAGACAGAGCGTTGCAAATTAGGGTTTTGCGTCAAGCCAAGTGGATGAGTACCCTTGCCTTGACCTGAGATGGTCCGAAAGATGAACAGAACATAAAACATCATCCATCTAATGTTTTTTCATTCATGTTGTGAGCTCCACTTTGTATAGTTCACTCGTTGTGTGAAAGAGGCTTAGAGAGGATTATGTGAAGTGCAGTAACTATCCATTTATATATATATATATCCACATGAAAAGGTTCTTATTAATTTTGGAAAATGATGAAGGTCTCAATTCATTAGACATTCACGGGATTTTTTGAAAAGAGCAGTAAGTTCTTTCTCTCTCTCTCTCAATATAGATATGTATTTACATACACATGTAATTAGCCTGATATTTTGGCTAGTAAGTTATTATAAATATCAATAAATAATTTATTGAATCTTTCTTTGGCCATTTCATAAGATTCATTAAAAAGAACTCTAAACTTCACAATGGTACTGTTGCATTTAATCTACAATTTTATAAAGAATATCTGAGTTTTGTAAGAAACAAGCGGTGAATAGCTGAAGTAAAATATTTCTATGAATGTTAAGTGCTTGTAGATATATTCAACACAATAAATATTTTTCTTTCATTGGTTCAGTTTTCTACATTAAAGGATGTTACAATTGTGTCTTTGTAAATAAAATTCAGGGACCAACTTTCTATTTCCACACACATAAATGGTCTTGTATTTAATGAATTGATTAATAATTATTTAAGATATATAGAAGTAGAAATTTTATTATGTATTTAATTTATTCATGTATAATGAAAGTCTTTATGAATTAGTCCAAACAATAATCTTACAATGCAATAAATACTTTATTATTTGATATATAATATATATTTTTAAATAAACAAGACTAATGGTTTACTTATTAAGCTAGAGTGGATAATAAATATGAAATTAAAATACATTTTAAAATCTAATATAATTGTCATAATATTGATAGTGACTCATATTAAGGCAGTAAAACCATCTTATTATTTGATACATTATAATACATTTGATCTTGGTATAATCAAGATCAAATAACATATAGTACAAAAATTTTGAAATACTATCAAAAGTGATTCTTTTCTTCAATAGTATAACCAAACATCAAGAGTCTCTTCTAAGGTCATGAAATCAAACACATTATAGTTAGCAAAGAAAGATGATTTTTGAGTAGAAGAATATATTATATTATTATAATCAAAATTTTTTAATGATACGATAATAGTCTAATTATCTTAATGGTAGTTAATAATACATCTAAAATATTGATTTAATATTTAATTTACATGTTTTTTTTATCAATTAGTTTAAGAATAGAAATATAATGATAGTTTTATAGCTATCTTTAATATCTTTAAAAAGAATCTAAATCCTAAAATCTAAAATCTCTTTATTTGATATAATTAAAATTGAATCTCTTTATTTGATATAATATCTTTTAGTAATTTATAATAGCTATAGATATTGTCAAAAAAATATTTAGATATTTTTTTAATTTATAATAGTTTTTATAAATGGTATAAAATATATCATTCTAATAAAATAATTTATTATTATAATAATATAATCAGAAAATTTATAAATTAAAAGATTGATAATAAAATCTATAGAAACAAAAGACTATAATTTTTTTGATATAAATAATTCCTAGAAAAGTCCATAAGATTGATGACAAGGAATTTTTGTTTGAAAAAATATCTCATAATTGTACAAAGCTATTAACTACCTTTCACATTTAAGGCCATTAAAAATCTCTTGAGATTCATTCTAAAGTATCTAAAATTTCTTATAATTGATTTTTCTTGATAAACTTGAAGAATACATAATTATGCTTTATCTTTTGTAATATATAAACATCCATCAAAATAGAAAAGATCGTTCTAAAATTCAAACTTAGAAGTATCATAAGATTTAGAAGAATTATTCTTAACATCATGTATAAAAAGATCTAAAGGCATATTTAATTAAACTTGATCAAAAAATGTTGGATTGATAATAAATATAGATTTCATTGTTTAAACATAAAATTTCTCTAGCTTCAAAAGAATTATTTTTTATTGATCAAAAGTTGCATTATTTTCTTTTGGTACAAGATAAAAATATTTAAAAATTACATTTGATAAAAATTGTTATTTTCCTAATTGATAAGTAAAATTGAATACAAATCTTGATAATGATAGGATCAAAAAAGCTTAGGAATAATTCAAAAATATGTGCTAACATAACATATTTGAGGTTCTTGTGATATGTATAAACAATTATTAGACTAGAAGCACCTTCTAAATAATGGCATTATTCTTGAATTAGACCAATATTGTAAGTTTTTTATTTTATTGTATTTCATTTTTTGAATCTCACAATTGATCTTAGCTATTAAATATTTTTTTTGAATTAAAAAAATATGGAATAAAGATTGTAATTTGCTCCTATTTGTGACAATGCTATACTTAAACTAGAATCCAATGCGTTTGCTCCCATAAAAAATTCCTTGAAAAAATCAATGTAATATAAGATTAGAGTTTTATTAAAAGATATCTTCAAAGCTTCAAATGATCCTTCAATGTCTTTGTTCTACTCAAGTTTGTCTTTACTAGTCAAAGGTGTTAGTAAAGCTGTAATTTAACAAAATAAATTGATATTAATTTGATAGTATATGACAAATCTCAAAAAATATTTGAGGTCTCTTATTGTTTTTAGAATTTTTTAATTTATAATAATCTATAATTTCTTAAGATCCATCATAAGGCTATTATTTAAAATAATATATTCTAAAAAATAAACTTAATTTATATAAAGTATACACTTTTCTATCTTGGCTTATAGTCTTGTATCTTTAAGTTCTTTTAACACACAACAAATATGAGGTTCTTACTATATTATATACTTAGAGTATATTAGATTGTTGTTAAGATAACAAATAAAAAAATCATTTGAAAATTTTCAAAAAATATCATTTCTTAGATATGGAAAACCTATTGGTGCATATATAAGTTTAAAAAATATGAAATTATATTTAAAATACATATACTTGATTCAATATATATATATATATATTTATTTATTTATTTTCTTTCTTTAATGAATATTAGATTATATACTCTTTATAGGTTTATTTCTTCTAGTAGAGATTTTGAATAATATATGAAGTTCTTGGGAAGTTTTCATTAATATACTCCTTAAAAGCAGCCAATTCATTTTTTTGATAAGCTATAGATTTGTCCAAATTGTAATTGATTTTTTGTTTTTTTTGTTTTTTTTGTTTTTTTTTAAGATCAACTAAGAAATTATAAGAATACTACTTTCAAAGAATAACTGCATTTTTTTTTTTTCTAAAATACAACTTGATAATCTTTATATTAAATTTAAATGCTGCTTGAGGTCTTTTTACTATTAGAAATAAGTGTGATATAAATAAAAAAAAAGATGATGCTTCTTTTGCAATATGTATGAAATCTCTTGCATCTACAAATAAGTATTTGGTAGTATTAGACTTGTAACTTTTTATGTGATTAGCAAAAATCTTGATCATGCTATAGAAAAATTGAGATGACAAGAAATCTAGTCTATTCAAGGATTACATTTTTCTAGCAATAATAAGTCTTTAATAAATATTTTTGAATAAAATTTTATGATAATAAATATTTTCAAGCTAATATAATAATTTTTTGTTATATCTATAAGAATGGTTTTATAGGCAACATCTTTAAAAGATAAAAGACATCTATGATTTCTACATACATAGATTTAAACTTTCTTATTAAGAATAATCTATGTCTTTTACTAAAATCTTTCTTTTAAAAAAAATATTAAAAATTTTAAATTTATTAAAAAAATATATATTTTTAGATATTAAATGAATATCTATTAGAAAATAATGTAAGGATTTTGAAAAGAAAATAAGACCTTTAATAGGTGTTATATAAGATTTTAATTTCATAATTTCTATTGTAGTTGGAAAAATAAGTTTTCTAATATATTATCTTTTTTAATAGCCATGCTATTAATTTTATTATTGCATTGATTCTTTGAACAATGTTAAGCATTGTATTTAGATTTTCTACAATAGAAGTACAATGTCTCTTTACAATATTCAATTTTTTCTTGTTCAATGAGAGATTTAATATGTATTCAATCAATTTTCTCAAATTCCAATATTGATGAATAATTTTTTAAAAACTCAAAAGTTGTTGTCATGACTTGATTTGCTTGTCACTAATTAAATCTTTGTTGTTGGTGCCTTTCAAAATGTCAATTATTATATGCAATAGCTTTAGCAATAAATTACTTTATGAATATGCTATTAGTTATAAATATTTGATTTTATATTTTAATCTATATCAAAATTAATTCAAAAGGGCTTTATCATTTTAATCTACATTGCAAAAAAGGTTTTAGAATTTTGTAGCATTGATAGTAGTTGATTGTGACTCTTGTTGTAAAGATAGAATTTTTTATTTTTATTTTTAATTTATTTCTTTAAATATAGTTGTAAATATTTTAAAAATAAATTTAGATTATATAAGAATTATGAAAAAATTAAAAAAAAATAATTTAATTAAAAAAAAATTTAAAAATCAAATAGAAGTATACTTATAAATTCAATTTGAATAAATCCATCAAGATATTGAAAAAGATATAAACTTACATATAACTTGACTTGTTGTACAAATTCTCAATATTTTTATCTTATTCCATCAAACTTCTCCAACATACTAATATTTGTTTCTTTTATATTTTTAGTAGTAAGACTTTTTTAATTCATTTGTATAATTAATCTACTTGCTTCTCTTAACTACACAACTTCTTAGCATAGAAATTAAACCTCATTATTAACTTCTTCTATAGGTATGAAAATAATACTTTTATAGTTAAGATTTATAATACGTAAAATCTCTCTTCTAAAAATATTGAAAAACTTATACAGATTTGCAATAGTTAGAAATCTATTCTCACTTCTACTAAATTTAATATCCACAATTTTTCTTTCTATCCCTATAATAGAT